ACCTAACATCTCTGGTGCTTGCTGATGAGTTCCACCACAGCATCTACAAATGTGGAAGTCCTGTGGTCTTTGAACTGATGGAAAGGGCCTTTTCCAAACTTATCCAAGTGAAGCAAAAGTGTTAGGCAATGAGGTGCTGTAGCTACTTGAGAAGAGAATTCAGGAGCTAAAATTGTGTGGGCATTGAGGTTTTGTTGGTTTGATTTTCTAAATATTTTGAGAAGCAATTAAAAATTGTCACTATTCAGGTCTCTTTTCTATGATGAAAAAGTGTATTTTATATACTTGCAGGAGAAAAAAGTTGTTCCAATGGCCAACATTATGAGCTCCAGATAATGAATCTGAACTCCAAAATTACTTTATTTCTTTTGTGAAAGACTTCCTGGGCTGTGGGGGACTTTGAGTTTTGAAGCAAATAACAAATAAGACCTCCGTAGTTCCTGGTTAGCCTCTCGTGCAGCTTAACCAGTGTTGGAGAGTTGGGCTGGTTTCAGTTGGTGGATGTACAGTTCATCCAGGGGCATGCGGTAGTTCTGAGGAGTAAGGTGACAAGTAAAAGACTAACATTTTAATTAACATGTGTATAGTGTGCAACGTGAGGGGGACAGTGCTGATTGAAGTAAAATACTTTACTTAGATCTCAGTAAAGTAATCTCAGTTTGTGCTCCGGCCTCGCCGACTGTCTAAAGAGTAAATGCAATACAGCATAGCGCAAACAAGGATATCTGTCATACTGGATGCAATGTGTGGCATGATGAATAAAATGGGAAGCTTCAAAAGATTAGTTCTTTAATTTTTTCGGTGGAAGCTTACATTACAAAGTAGAATTCCTTCTAGGGGACGTTCTCAGATAGTCCAGGTCTGTAATGGGTAAAGAGGAAAAGAAGGTGAGGGAGATCATCAAAAGAGAAGCTGCTTTCCCTTCCAGATTATTATGTGTATTATGTAAATCAGCACTTTATTTCTGTCATTTCAGGAGCCCTTAGGACTGTGTAAGTAGAATCCAAAAAGCAAGAGACGTTACAGCAACAGAATGGATTAATGAGTTTTGTTTTATTTCTTATTGAGGTTTACTGCAGGTCCGATTTCAGTCAGTAGGAAGGTGTACTTCACTGGTTTTACTACCTACTTGTCTCATGAATTCCTTCAAACAGTGCTAGGTAGAATAGTGGCTAGTCCCATGGTCATGGGATTACTCAAAATGTAATGGCTGGTTTCAGTGGTGCTGGGAGCATGCTCTTAATCTGTAAGTGCCTTAAGCAGGTGTGGGTTGTCTCATTCTTTGCACAGCACTGAGCACACATTTAGGACTACATTCAGAAGACATTTGTGGGTGTCCTCCTGGTTGGTAGAGTTAAGTACCTCTAAAGTCACTGGAACAGGGCTACAAAAGGCAGGGAGCAGGGAGCTAGTTGGAAGATCCTTGGTAGACACAGGGATTTGGGTAAAATTTCTTGACATATGACAGGTGATGTACGGTGATACATGACAGTTGTGATTTAGTCTGTAGTGAAAGGCATACTTGTGGTGACAACATAATTTAGAATGATGTAATTGAGCTTAGGCACCACAAGTCTAATCAAAGGTTTTTAAGGATACTTTTAGAACTGCTAGATGGACAGCACATACTTTTCTGAAAACATGGATCTTTTTTATAAAAATGAGGAAAACCGTTTGTGTATCTCTTGTTTGAAATTGCTAGTTTCATTAAGTAGACAGAAGTTGCCTGAGGCTGCCTTGATTACAGTATGTGTTGTGCTTAAGGTACAGGTTTTGAATAATACAGTGATGAGTACATGTTGTAAGTTCCTGGATTTCCTTGGTCCTCCTAGAGACCAAGGAGACCTAAGGACATCTTTTAATATTTTAGTGCTCTCTTAAGGTTTTCATTGGGAATGATCCCGTTACTTTGAACACTCTTGCAATGCAGCAGGTTGCCATGGCTGTCAGTGAGAGTTAAGATTGCAGTTATTCTTTCTAATAATGAGAACTTGAAAGATGACAGATGGATACGAGTTTCACTAAGTACTTGTGCATTGCTCTAGCTTTGACTTTCTGGATCATGTTCGCTTATTTGGGTTGGTATCCAAACGACGTTTGCACATACCATATGTTTAGCACGTCAGTGAAGAGTGTTGCCTTTCAGATACCCAGCTTGGTTATGAGTGTTTTAGCATACGGAAGAAGTGCCCATAGGCGATGGTGAAGGGCTTTGCATATGGGAACTTCATAGCCTCCTCATATGGTAAAAACAATATTCCTTAGTAGAAATGTTCATAGCCGGGAAACTTCTGCTTGTCAGCCATGATATTTGGGCCTTCCCTTGTACCAATTCACAGTATTTCCTTTTCTCAAATTTGGTCTCGAACTGTTTTCAAGTTATGGGGAGGAGGAGACATGAAATATTGAGTGTGAGAGGGGCATTCTTTTATTTCTGAAAACTGTTTGTCTTTGGTTTGATCAAGGACCTCTGTGATTGATGTTACATATTGTTTAGCTTTCATAAGTGGATTGATATCCATATAAGTCTATAAGGAGAGTCATTGAAAAAGTGCATGTCAACAGATGCAGAAAATAAATGAATATAGTAAATACCTTCTCTTTGTTTACAGAGGATGGCCTTTAGACACTGCGGTGCGTTTTCCTGTGTCTGTATGCGATTAATAAGCACAAATTACATTGTACCATCATATGCAAATATGATTGATGATACTTTAAAAAAGGAGATAAAGTAATACCACCTAGCTCACCTGGTGTGTCAGTTCTGGCTTGTTATTTTAACTGTCTTCTGGGTGCTTCTTTTTCAAATACTGAAACCTAAAGAACTTAAATAAATATGAATTGCTTAAGTTTCTTATTGTCTTCTAGGCTTGTGAAGTAGGAGAACGTTGAGATGTGTGATATATCCATCTCCGCTGACTAATAAATTAATCATTTTTCAAGTTTAATGGGAAAGATTCAGTGGTGTATTGTTTTCTAGAGAAGGTAAACATCAACTCTAACTGTAATTCACAATGTGTTTAAAACAATTATTCTTTATCATTAAAGTTAATAATATGCACATTAACCTCTGATGTAGTCTGAATCAATACTGCAGTTTCGGAGATGTGACCCCTGGACAGCTTTGTCTAAATATTGATTTCATTGTCATTTGTATAAGGTATGAAACAAATTACATGCCTCCCTAATATCATTAATGTAGCCCCATTGAGCTACTCAATTTATGGCTTCTTATAATGCACGACAAAGCATTACAGAGTTATTTAAGACATTGTGAAATACAATTGCTTAGTGTGCTAGATTTGATTGTGGAAGGCCAATGCCAACACTCAATAACTTTCAAACACTTTGCTGTTCAAAGAAAGTCCAGTGACAAGAGTGAGCTGCTCTGTAGTATGCAACTCAGTTGTTAATTTCCAGCAGACAAAGTTCCCTTGGGTTCTGGGAGCAGCAATTTATTCTACAGCTTTCTACTTATATATTTGTAGCCTTACATGGAAATAATGCATACGCTTGTATTCTGTGCCAAAGGCAAATGTTGTTCTCTTTGATTGCTGGAGGAAATCAAAATAGGTAGGAGGGATAGCATCTCTCTGTCTTGGCCAGCATTTATATTGGTTGCCATTACTGTCATAATTTGAAATATGAGTTGAATAATTTACTCCACACTGTGATTTTTTCCCTTTATTGCCTCTTTATTGCAAATGTCTTCTCACCATGCCCCTCGTGTTTTCGTTACTGCTCCTTCCATCATAGCTGTTCCTCAGATCTTCCTCACCACACCTTCTTACCCTTCCAGGAAATTTCAGGGTTTCCCTGAAACCCTGGAGATACCAGTCTTCCCTTCTTTTGCTTCCTCCCTCTTCAGAGAGCTCGTTTTTTACACAAGCAAACTGTTTTTAAGCATGAGATTCAGGTGTCTATTTTCCTTCTCCTTTCCAAATACAAACCTTAGCCTCATGGATATCTAGGAGAAAGCTTAGTATAAGTTTCATGTCTTCCCCCTAAACTTTCAGTTGGGACGATTTGTCTTGCTCTTTGCTTGGTATCTAAGCACTGCTCACCTGCAGTCATTGGCTGTAAGCTACTTATTTCACAGTCAGGGGCACCCACACACACGCTTCCTTTCCCCATTCTTTTTCTTTAGCTTGAAAAAAAAAAATCAACTTCCATATCCAGTCTAGGGTACCGCTTCCTTTTTCTACGTACTACATTTTCAAAGCAGCATCTTCATACTTTCTCCTGTGGTGGCTTTCATGCTGAGGGACCTTCTTGTAAATATATGCAAAGCTACTTCATTGTGCTTTAATGTATACAAAAATCTCAACCACATTTGAGCTTCTGCTGTGCTGAGACTACAGGCCATCATTCCAGCTGATATCGTCTCATTGTTTAATTGTACTTGCCCATTTTCTCTGGTGTTAGGCTTTTATCTGAGGCTGTCTTTAAGGCTTTTTGATTTTGGGGAGAGGATTTGTACAGCGTGAAACATGTAGGGCATAGTAATCTTTGGATAAGTATCATAGGTGCTATGTTATTACAAATAATATGGAATAATACATTTCCTACATATCAAAATGCTCTAATTATGTTATCATTACAGTCAATGTGGGATTGGCACCATTAAAGTAAAGTTCTCTTAGCTGTCTCAGAAGGGTGCTTGGCACCTTTTAGGAACATGCTGTTTTTTCATCAGAAAAGTCTGTATGGTGATTTTTTTTCTTTTTTTCCTATCTTTTCTTTTCTTCTCTTTTTGTTTTTTTTTTAAAGACAAAAAAGATGTTCTTTTAGTGAAGAATGTTAATAGATTACAGACATGAACAGCCTGTTATGATCATCTTGAATATAATGCAGACCGTAGGACTTCCTTGAATTAATTCCCGAGAGAATTACAGTGCAGCTTAGGAAAAGAAAAAAAAAACCCAAACTAATTTTTATTTAAACCTTGCTCATGGTGGTTTTTCTTAGTTATAAGTTTTGTTCCAAATTTTCTCTTATAGGTAAAAGTGACCCATTTTGTGTAGTTGAATTGAACAATGACAGACTGCTGACACATACCGTCTACAAGAACCTCAATCCAGAATGGAACAAAATCTTCACATTGTAGGTGTTTGGATTTTGTGAGAGTTTGGGGGCGGGTTGGGGTTTGGGTCTTTTTTTGGGGGGAGGGGTGTTTTGAAGGTGATGTACATGTGAATCAAAGATACCTACTGCTGAGTCTGAAGAAAGATAGTTGATGACATACTGATATTTCTAAACCAAACAGCTGAATACTTTTTTGAGGATTAAAAACATGAAAAAAATTACAGAAGAGGTACGATTATAAAGGTAAAAAAGCAAGGTCTGTTCCTTGGAAACCAGGTCTGAGTAATGCTTAAGCACTCCAGACTCCTGCTAGCTTTAGTGAGAGTTTTGGGTGGAAAAAAGGGTATTGTGATTATGACCTTCATTAAAATGTAGTCATTAACTTTAACAAACGTTAGATAACTATATAAAGGAAGGAATTTTAAATGCATTCATACTTGTCTGAATTATTGTCAGATACTTTGCACTTGTTCTTTCCATTTACCAGCTGCAGTTCTCACAATACCATCTACTATCATACTAGTACAATGCTGCTATTGGGTGGAATGCAGTCTTAAACATTTAGTTTATTGGGAAATTATGCAGTTGGGGTTTTTTTATCCTTCTGTTATTCTGAAGACAGTAAAAGACTCTGCCAAAATAGAAGAAAGTCTTCCACAAACAAAATGTTACTGTTACTTGTCTTGCTCAGTTGCCGCCTTTTTCTCCCTGCTTCTCTCTGACTGCAATGTGACACCAATGAGAAGAAAACGGATCAGTTGCACGCCTCTGCTCCTGAAATCAGCTAACAATCCACTGCAAAACCAGTAGAAACTTTAGTTTTGTGTACACTTACTTCACTGTATCATAAATAAAAATACTATGTTTTGCCCTTGATCTCAAAACACAGCCTGATTTTAATTTTCTTCTTTTTTCCCCTCTGAATTTGTCATTCATATATTTGGCATCCGTAGCTTTTCTTGCCCTGCAGTGAGCTCTCAAGAATGAACTCAGAACAAAAGAAAAAATCTCACAACAGTTGTACGTCTCATTAGATTATTAACGTAGTTCTCATTTATGTATCTGCAAAACCATGCTAAATTCTTCATTATTTTTAATTATCTACTAATAGAGCCAATAACTAATCAACCTCTACTGCTCGACAGTGTTCTCTGCATGAGAAATTGCCTGGTTTTGTAGAGGACAAAAGACTAATCAGGAATCAAATAGCAAAACTCAAAAGGCCTTCAAGGAGAGTTTTCACCTCTCCTCTATGTATATTTGCATTGACTATTTTATTTATCCTCAGATTTGTTAATTAATTTTGGGCTAGCAATCCATTTTCATCTGGAGGCATATATTTTACTGAAGTTAAACTACTTGGCTTGAATTCATATTTCCTGGATCAACCATTTGATCAAATATGAGTTATCTTAAACAATTCTGGTTTTTTCTCTGAATAAGGAATGTGAATTTTTCACTTGAGAGTTTTCACTGTACAGTGACATTTGTTGTGCATGGTGGTGGAGTGTTTAATAGCTCGCAGGCAAAAAACAGTAGTTGAAAAATGTATTGTTTTGTATTGCTTGTTCCTAATTTGTTGTAATGGCTGTTGTATATTTGTAATTAAGCAAGGATTTTAGAATTAAAGAGCTTGTTCTCAGTGCAAGGATGTGCTTATGTAGCTCGCAATTATTTTTGTTGACAAACCTACAGATTTCACAGTATTTGCAGTAAGAATTGCTGCAAGGATGGCAGTGTGTAAGGGATAGTCTTTAAAGGCTCTCAGTCCTGCTGCTTGCGGCTGTAAATCCCCCAGTGCAGCTCCGCGCTGGCTCTCCTTACAGCTCATGCAGCGCGAATGCCAGGTAGGAGATTTAAAGCAACATCCTTCGAAAAACTTCTGCTGGGAAAGCCTGGTAGAGAGAGAGAGCGATTGCTGCAGCCCTTAGAAAGCATTTCAGTAACACGGAGGGATGCCTCATTTACTTAGGTTCTGTTCGTTGCCATGGTTTGGAAAAATAGACGGGTATCTGTTTTTGCTAACCTTTCATGGTTTTGTCCTTGGTACCCGCTGGTGTAGGTGACTTCTCTTCTTTGTGTGCTTCTCCCTTTGTAGCAATATTAAAGACATCCACTCAGTCCTTGAAGTGACAGTTTATGATGAAGACCGTGATCGGAGTGCTGACTTTCTAGGCAAAGTTGCTATACCGTTGCTGTCTGTAAGTTTCATTCACCTGACATA